TCTGGGCCACCCGAGCAGATATTGACGTGAAGCACACCGGCTGCGCCGACCCCGCGTCGTCACGTGCGTCAACAGTCTGATAACGTCGCCGTTGCTTGCTGGGCTCGGTCTCAGAGCTGATTGGTCGCTGAGTGGATCGCTGGTGAGAGCGCTTGCTGTCGCTTCAGAAGACCAGGTGTTTGGTTTCCCGCAAAAGGTGTTTGATTTCCTTGTTCAGGTGTTTGATTTTCCGCAGAACGGGTGTTCAGATGTTCAGATGTTCCATTCCCCACGGGAGAACTTTCATGTGTTTGTCTCAAGTGAACAATGTCATCTAAAGTAACCTGACAGCTGAAACAATGGCTTCATAACGAGGATACGAAGGAACGCACAGATGCACTAGCCATTGAAAAATTGCCTTCATTTTTATAAAGATCATACCATACCATCATATCATATCCATCATACCATACAGCTCTTGGGTATAGTACAGGCATCATCATCGTTATGGTACACATCGTATAAACATCTTGATCGAGCGACATCGTGATCTTTAACAAATGTTTCGCGGATGAAATAACGCTCTGATTTTCATCTTTGTCTTGCACGTTGGTATTTACACAACGTTTCGGCCAGTAAAATATTTTGTCTTCGTCAGGTGTTACTGAGTCCAGAAAAGTCTCAACTTTTGAGGTTGTTTGGCTTTTAGCTATGTGCGTGCCACAGGCCGAATTCTCTGCATGGCATTGTTGGGATTTAACAATATTCCTCTGATCGCGAGTCCAGTGCTCTACCAACTGAACTAACCGAGAAGGGCAATGCCAGTTGGTACAGCACTGAACGTGCAATCAGAACGCCATGGCTGAAATCCCAGCAATTCTTTTCCTGTTAGGTCAGTTGGTAGAGCAATGAATTCGCAATCAGAGGTCCCGGTTCAAATTCCAGAAGCTCCATAGAAATTCCGGTTGTGACGCGTGCGACGCTGATAGCCAAACATCATCTACTCCTTCTCCAGGCTCCATCATACTCCTTCTCCAGGCTCCATCATACTCCTTCTCCAGGCTCCATCATACTCCTTCTCCAGACTCCATCATAATCCTTCTCCAGACTCCATCATACTCCTTCTCCAGACTCCATCATACTCCTTCTCCGGCTCCATCATACTCCTTTTCCAGACACCATCATACTCCTTCTCCAGGCTCCATCATACTCCTTCTCCAGACTCCACATACTCCTTCTCCAGGCTCCATCATACTCCCTCTCCAGACTCGACAACACCTGGCTACAGGCGGACAGCGTACTAGCCAAAACGTTGTGCAAACATTAACGTACCAGACGGAGGCGACAATCCGATCTTCCGTAAAACTGAAGCGAAGGTGTATTACATCACGACCACACCCTTCTTCAGTCTGTGTTTAATGTCGACATCAATCATTTGGTCTGGCCTGGTTTAGCCTACTTCCTACTTCTTAGGCGACGTATGGGACATAATTGTTTCGTCATTTTAAATGACAGTCATGGAGTTTGTCAGGCTGCTGCAGTGAATGCAAACCTACCATGAACTAGGGCCCCATATCCACAGCTGCGTGTAATCACACAACCGCATGCGCTTGAAACGCAGCTTAACGCTTCGCCAGTGCTGAGTTAAGTTGGGTATTCCATTAAACAGGTAAACCGTGTCCTTGGAAACAAGAGTAGACACCCATCTTCTATTGCAGAGTGTGTTCCGTGGCAAACCAGTAAGCGTGTCATTCTACACAGCTGCTATGGAGCTGTGTCGGCAGCGATACAAGAACCCACTATTCGATCTTGACTAGTGATGACCTGTCATGGTGCAGGTGAGCTGTTCACTGATGAGTGATGGCATGATGTGGTGCAGGTGAGCTGTTCACTGATGAGTGGTGACTAGTCCTGGTGCAAATCGCTGTTCACTGATGAGTGTGACTAGTCCTGGTGCAAACGACTGTTTATTGATGAGTGGTGACTAGTGCTGGTGCAAACAACTGTTCACTGATGAGTGGTGACTAGTCCTGACGCAAACAACTATTCATGGCTGAGTGGTGACTAGTCCTGGTGCAAACAACTGTTCACTGATGAGTGGTGACTAGTCCTGGTGCAAACAACTGTTCACTGATGAGTGGTGACTAGTCCTGGTGCAAACAACTGTTCACTGATGAGTGGCGACTAGTCCTGGTGCAAACAACTGTTCAGTGAGGCGACAAATGACCTGTCCTGGTGCAGGTGAGCTGTTCCACTGATGAGTGGTGACTAGTCCTGGTGCAAACAACTGTTCAGTGATGAGTGGTGACTAGTCCTGGTGCAAACAACTGTTCACTGATGAGTGGTGACTAGTCCTGGTGCAAACAACTGTTCAGTGAGGCGACAGATGACCTGTCCTAGGGCAAGTGACGTGACCTCTGAGACGAGTGATGACCTGATCCGGGGCAGGTGAGATGGCCACCGAGACTGGTGATGATCTATTATCGTGCAGGAACTTCTGGCAAAATGTCAACTGAGGTAAGCAACGACCTGGTCTGGTGCAAGTATGCCGTTTTGGGGTTTGCTTTTTGTAAGCTTTTCGCTGTGACAGGTGGTGAGCTGACGTTGTAAATCAGAATGGTCCTTTCAAGCTGTTGCCCAATCCCTGAACTCTCAAACAGATGTTCACACGCCGTGACGCTTTGGTCCCGGTGCCGGTGCCGGTCCCGGTGAGTCAATGACCGTGATAAAAAACAAAAGAAAATAAGTGAGATAAGCAAGACAAGATAGGCAAGAGTCAGATCACTCACGCGCACGCGGCTGCTCCTCTCAGGGAGCACCTGCAGGCCGACGACGTGTACGTGCTCGGTGACAGCCGCACCGAGACCCCCGGTCCTGGACGGGACCTGGCTCTGCTGGCCGCCTGCAACCACACCGTGTTCGACTACGGCACCTACGGCTTCTTCGGAGCCTTCCTCGCAGGTCAGAGCAAGTGCGTCGTCAGAGTGTCAAGTATCTCTGATCCCTTAAATACTATAGGTGTAGAACTTTTGATGTACTCTTGGGGAGCACTTACCAGTCGTACATTTACCATCAGCATCGCTGGTTTTTACTTACAGAAGAAATCTGGGGCGCATTCAGCAGAGATATCTAGTGTGATTCGTATTCATAGATGGACTGTTGTGCGATAGTCCCGACCTTAAGACCTGCGCTTGAGCGTGCAGAAATGGCCTTGGTCAGCTGTACGTGCTGCGGCATGAACACATGCTCAGCATTAACTCGTGTTCAGCATTAACTCGTGCTCACGGCTACTCCGTGTCCAATCATGTTGTGACCTAACAGTGATGTATGATCATCACATATTGATCTTGTCCACCGGTTAACGCTCGCACTGGCATGCATCGACCAGTGATTTGTCTTACCAGTGCCACCAGCCAGTAATACTCTTCCATCAGTCGCTCGCTCGTCAGTGGCATGTTTTCACCACTGTCACGTATCCGCCAGTGACGTGTACTCACTGCGGTGCCGTGTTCCCGCCCGCAGGCGGCGACATGATCCTGGCGGACGGGTTTGCTGAGCTGGAGCACGAAATTGTGACCGAGCTGCGTGTGGGCGGTATCAATGCCACGTTTCTGGACCCCAACGGCGTGCTACTGCCCCACTGTGTGCTCTGCACGTGACGTTAGGCTGTTGTTCCACTGTGTGTTCTGCACGTGACGTTAAGCTGTTGTTCCACTGTGTGTTCTGCACGTGACGTTAGGCTGCTGCCTCACTGTGTGTTCTGCACGTGACGTTAGGCTGCTGCTCCACTGTGTGTTCTGCACGTGACGTTAGGCTGCTGCCCCACTGTGTGTTCTGCACGTGACGTTAGGCTGCTGCTCCACTGTGTGTTCTGCAGGTGACGTTAGGCTGCTGCCCCACTGTGTGTTCTGCACGTGACGTTAGGCTGCTGCTCCACTGTGTGTTCTGCACGTGACGTTAGGCTGCTGCTCCACTGTGTGTTCTGCACGTGACGTTAGGCTGCTGCCTCACTGTGCGCTCTGCACGTGACGTTAGGCTGCTGCTCCACTGTGTGTTCTGCACGTGACGTTAGGCTGCTGCTCCACTGTGTGTTCTGCACGTGACGTTAGGCTGCTGCCTCACTGTGCGCTCTGCACGTGACGTTGGGCTGCTGCCCCACTGTGTGTTCTGCACGTGACGTTAGGCTGCTGCCCCACTGTGTGTTCTGCACGTGACGTTAGGCTGCTGCCTCACTGTGCGCTCTGCACGTGACATCAGACTCCTGTGTCATGCAGGGATCTCCGCAGACGAAGAGAGAAGTACCAATAATTGTCATGACACTTGCCTTCAGCTGACAACCCGGGTCCGCGTGCCGAAAAACACCAGTGTGCAAACTTGTACCTCGGAACCTGCGTTGTCAACTGGCTGGTTCGAAACATACCAGTGACGACTTTTGGACAGCATTCGATGATGTGCCGACGGCGGAAAGCCGTCATGCCCGCATGTTTTGCTGAAATGGGTTGCACTCATTAATAATATATTTGAGCTGGATGAGCAAATGGCTGGCAGTGTAAATGGGGGCGGCGCGAATAGGTGGCTGTGGGTGGGTGCAATGTCTCCGATTCTGAGGCGAGCGCACGCATTCTCCAAGCGGTCTTTTCGGCGTCGAGATGGCCAGGGCGTGATGTCAGGATTAATGTCACGAGGTTGTGTCCCAGTGGTGTTCGTCCAATGTCGTACCCAAACACGCTTTGTCAGTGTGCGAATAGAAGACTATAGATGTGTAATCAAAAGAGGTGTGCGTTGTTTGTATGGCTGAGAGAGCTTTTTTGGCCAATTGGTCAGCCCTGGTCATTCCCCATGATGGCTCTATGGCCTGAATTCATCAACATTGTAGGTTCCATTAACACTGTAGGTCCATGCCCGGTGTGTGTAAGAGGTCATAGAGATCGACATTGGCGGGCAGGTGGTGGTTTAAGTCAAGGCAATGAGCGGCTGTGGAACTGCCTGGGAATTGGAACTGCTTGGTATTGTTCTCATGTGACTATTTCGTTGTATGTGTTGCAACGCAACAAGAAAAGCATATAATTCTGCCAATGATACAGAGGTGCCATCAAGTAACCGCTCATTTCTGGAGTAATATGTGTCACGAAGTACTGCACACCTCATGCGAGTGTCAACCTTTAAGCTCTCAGTGCAAATAAAGCGGCAGCTTTTTATCCCATATTGTTCCTAGCCCAGCCTCCAGCCGAGTGCAGCCGTACGACTGTGACGTCAGAGTCTGTCCCCGAGGCGAGACAAACACTCCCGTCCCGGGGAAGACGCCCCCCCCCCCTCCCCCCCCTCCCCCCCCCCCGGGAAGGTCGCCTGGTGGGCACGGAGGTGCGATCCGACGTTCTCGTGAAACGTTCACAAAAACCCACAGATTGCAAATATGTACCTGCTGCTGTACCAGCGCTGTACCGTTCTTCGCGCCAACCAGTCAGTCGATGCAGCCAATTTCAGACATCCGCTCTTCATTCTCACTTCATACCACATCATCGCTACGCCCCTTTTATTGGCCGGGGCGAAGGAACCTGCAGCAGCCATGAGTTGTCCACCTAGTGCGCCACCTATGCCGAGCTCCCCATATGCAAAGTACTTATCTGAGCTGCTACCTATGACGTCACAAGTGGCTACGTTATACGCAAGGTGCTATCGAACGAGCCGTAGGAGCTGTTGCGGCGCACCTATCTATGACGTCATAGGTTGCTGCTTGCGAACGTGGTAATGGGAAACGCGGTCCTGCCCCCGTCCGAGCGCACGCACCTACGCATCGGGTGGGAGGTCAACGTGAAGTTCAGCTATTCGCTACTAGACGGCAGCGCGACAGCCGGCTGCTGGAGCGATCCAAGCGGTCGCTGTCATTATCTCCTGCGTGTAATCCACATACGTCATGGAGGCCAATGAGGCATGATGCGCAGCACGATCGACGTGTATGTCAGCAGAAGGCCACGTCATGGGATGCGCGTGTGGTTCTTCGACGATAGAGTGGCATGTGAGCTTCGAGTATTTTCGAAGCCAGTATTTGATGTGAGTTGAGACCCGCGAAACCAGCGTCAGGGATGCCATAGGGGAGGAGTAGCCGACAGTAGTCCTCACCACCGAAGGAGATCCCAAGGTAGGTGACCTTGGCAGTCGTCACCTCTTGCCCTTCAGCACGACACGGAAGTCTTACGTCACGCATCTCACGTCGATATACCTTTAATTTTACGTCACTGAGCAGCAAAGTGTGTACAGTGCACGTCGCTTGTGAGGATGCTAAGCTTCTGGTGGGCTTCCACCTTCTGAGCCTTGCCATGAGGCAGCCACACCTGCAAAGATATCACCCATTGACACACCCCTCTCTGCACCGTCATGTGTAACTTTTACACGCCTCTTAAAATCGCGATGAAACGGATGTCCGTTTCGGGCTTCACATCAATCTATTGGCTTGTTAAGCCACGAGCTTCTTCCCGTTTGAATAAGCTAGAATGGCAGCGCAAGACGACTCATTTACTGGATCCAACAGTTCCATTTTCTAACTGATGAATGACGCCACATCTTCAGCATATTTCGCCGCCGGCATAGGCAACAGCTCCTAAGCGATGGCTGTTTGTTTCATCAAGCCGACGTCATCCAAAACCAGACAGAACACGACCATCTCGGACCTCAACTTGGCCAAGTATCGATGCGCATGACTGCTAGCGTTACACCCAGCGCAGGGCTGCCCACCGTACGGTAGTACAGCAGGTTCTGGTACAGCCTCAGGTCTCTCTTAGGGGCGTCAGCGGACAGCGAAGCCGCGTGGCTGTCTGCACCGGTGTCCGCTGACGACCCCAGGAATGAATGGCCTGAAGCTGTAACAGGGCCTGCCGCACTACCGGACAGCTGGCCGGCCGGTGTCTTGCATGTGAGTAAAATCAGGGACCTTGAAAATGTGAGTAAAGCCAGGGACCTTGATATAACGCTGGATACCATACTAAACTTCGCTGCATATGTCTCTGACATAGTAAGTAGGGGCAGTCGAGCACTTTCTTTCCAAGTCGGTACCGGCTGGTCAAAATTCAACCGAAGCGCTGGGATGGCTCCGTGTGTGCAAATGCGCGATCGGTTTAGAAAACCGCAGCGTGGTCTGGACGAGGGGGGGGGGAGCAATTCCCACATAGAGCGGCTCGGTCGAGTGCAGCACAGGTGTTTTGTTTGATTACTTACTCAAGCATTCTCCGGGCAAATAGCTTCTCTTCCTTATGACAGCCTTCTGCTTCATTTCAAAACTCCATCCTGAGCAGCACGAATTCATTTCGAAACCCCATCCTGAGCAGCACGAATTCATTTCAAAACCCCATCCTGAGCAGCACGGATTCGTTTCAAAACCCCATCCTGGGCAGCACGAAGAGTGCAACACGACTTACTCCTTCTGAGAAACCTCTTCCAAGGTAAACTAGACTCAAATCTTGCTCAGCTGTTTCCCCTTGCTTGTGCTGCCTCGATCAACCGACCCGAACCGAACCCCGCACCCGAACTCCGCTCGCTGTACCTCGCGCTCGTGTGTAAACAGCACAGAGCGGTCTGTTTTGGAGGCTGCCAGGCATTGGGGACACTCTTAGCGAGCGACAATAGTGCGGATACTTGCATGACAGTTTCACTATTTTTAGGGGTCAAGTGATCGACTGTATGTTTGAACTCGGTAGTTTCCTCAGTCATCTTTTAGATTTTATCTGCTCATTATGTTCATACTACTGTGCGCTTTGTATTTATTGTCTTTCGTTCAAGTGATTTCGCTTGGTGGTGGAGTGCTGCTCTGTTGGCGACAAAAGAAAATAAACGAAATGAATAAAATCCTGCAGATCCCTTGCATGTATTTTCACGTATTTCTCATTGTAACTAATGAATATATTAAGCCAGTCTGCAAACAGCTACCAGTTTTTGACCAGAGAACCCCTGGATCGGGACAACAAATAGACTGTAATACGCGGTATCTTTTAATTGTTACGTGGTTGGCCTTAAGGCAGAAGGGTAAATAGATGAGGCAGTAGTAATGCCCCTATTTCTTGCAGAAAAGAACAAGAGAATGGCAACAAATGCGCGTGGATATTTCGGCAACATGCCTTCATCGAAATATCAACGCATCTATATCTCCACTCTCTTGGTTTTCTACGAGGAATAAGGCTATTACCACCGCCTCATCATATGCATAATGTTTCTCGCAAATGCACTTAGCAACTTACGTAATTCAGGTGGGTAAATCTATAACGTCTTCGGTACTATGATACCTACGTAAAGGGAAAATCAGTGACTTTTCGCCGCGGACGTGACCGCCCAACTCGAGCCTCAACTCCGCACTCCAGCTCCAGCATTTCCGACTCGGAATAGTCAGTTCAGTCTAAACCCGATGCTTCACAAGAACACCTATCACTTCAACAGTGTTCGGAGAAGTTTGACTGGCGCCGTCAAGCAAATTATGGCTGCCCGAAATCGATGGGCTGTTTCTTACGCAGATGACGTCAAGAATGTGATGGCATCTACGCCAGCTGTGGCGCGTTCGTTTTGATTTCCGAGACATCCTACTGATCTATTTGCTTCGTCGTTTTGGTGAAAGGACTCACATTCATGGGCTCGTATTTGCGCAATCCTGGTGTTCAAGACTTTGCTTAGGGGTTTTAAGTTCTCAGCATGAGATTAGACAAATTTTGAAATGCCGTTCATCTGATCACACATGACCATATAGAAAGTATAAAAACTTGAAAAGCACGTTAAACTTGCCAGCTGGTGTAAGCTAAGCGACGTGTCATTTTTTTTCTTCATAAACCGGAGCAATTTGGTATAGCACTGGTTTGGAAACTGTGGTGAATGGATCGGACTTTTCCTATGGTAAAGCCAGGGAAGTAGTTTCGCGAAATGGAGATGGGGAGACTGAGCGGTGTAAAATGATGGAAGCTGCACAAGACTAGTCAACACACGGGTCTCTCCCCGGAAGTGACCCACTTTCTTCTCAAAGTTTGGGGGGGGGGTTTGAGTCCTCTCATCTGAATAGGAAGCTATATCCCTGGTTAAAGCTCAACAATGGAAACGGAAACAAAGAATTCGTGGTTTTTCAATTTGACGTGGCCAACTCAAGCTTTCGTGATTTCACGGGGCCGCAGAATGTGAGATTTGTGGCCTCCAGGCTGCAGCACTGACCCCGTCCCCGGTTGCGAAATTGTGGACAAACTTGGCGGAGCATGGGGAGGGCGGTGAACACTAAACCTCATTGCATTTTGTCGTGTTGTCCTTGTATTCGAGCCCCAGTATTCGTACATTTCCTCATGCTGGCCGGCGTGGTGGAAGACTGGGAGCCTACGTCACACCACTTGTCCGAGCCAGCTTGTGCTGCCAGGGGTTACGAATCGCAGCAGCTTTGAGAATGAAGTTCTGATTTTTGCCACTAGATGGCGCGATTGGACCGTCGCTGTTCTCCGTGGTTCTCCGTCACTGGTGCCCTGCCATACAAGTGATAACCAGGACAAACGCACCTGACTTCAATGGGGCATGCGCGAGGGTGAGGGCGAACGAGAGAATAGAGAGGGCTGTGGAGCTTGACTAAGTAGAAATTGAAAGTGGACAGTAGTAACAGCCTTATTCTTCGGAGAAAAACCAGGATAGAGGTAATGTTGGGCTGATATTTCGGCACATGCCTTTATCGAAACAATAGCATATCACCGCTCGCAAATGTGCTGACCAGCTTATGTAACTTAGTAGAAATTTAGCTAAAACAAAAATTTATCTTGATAAGGTAATATTCAAGACAATACGATAAAATGTTATATAACACACAATAAATCAATGAATACATGCGAAGTGATATTCACATACAGTTATGAGCAGTCAAATTC